AACCGTTATGCTCACGTGTCCTCTGATAATAATAGCTTTCTAGGATTAAACATTATTTGGATAATTGGTAAAAAAAATATATATATATATATATCTTAATAGCCCTACTGTGTGATAGACCTACCTGAAAAACTAAAAACCAATTTATTTCATTTGTAGGCCTATCGTGATTTTTTTTATTATGCCACGTCACGCCATGTCACTAGTAATTTCTTTATTTGTTCTTATTTTATTATTAACTGCTTAGCCTCCTTGTCATTTTTTATTAAATTCAAAGGTTTAAATCAAGATATCTCGTGCTACTGCAGTAAAATTACCCAGCTGTAAAACCAAAAATACACTGAGTGAGCAAATCTTTGTTTAATTACCATTATAACTAGCTATCTCACAATGTTTACATATGAATAAAAGCCTACATTAAAATCTGTCATATAAATTGGTCTCTTCATTAGAAATTAGCCTACTGATTGCCACCATTGATGGACACATTTTTTTATAATATCAAAAATATCTGTATGACAGTATATTCTGCAGTTCTTCCCTGCTGTACCGAATATCTATACTTTTCAAAGTATCATATCGAAGTTAGAAATTCAAATATTGTGACAAAATTAATTTTGTAGGGTGCCACAAATTTGTTAAAATTTCCAAAGGGTGCCGCGACTAAAGAAAGGTTGGGAAACACTGGACTAGTACATCAATCAACTAAAAATCCTTGTGGGCGCACAAATCATTATCAGCAGTGTCTAGCCCCTTCAAACAAAAAAGCATATGAGGTTTTAGATCTATTTCTCTCAACATTGCTCATTTATCTGACACATCCAAAGCATGTCATGAAGTATGGTGTTGACTGAGGTGTTAGCTAATGGGAGACATCCACAAATAAAAGTGTGGTCCTGTTGGACGCCAGGCTGAAAAGCGAGTACTGCCAGAGACAGAGGACTTAAATTATGTGTTTAACAGCAAACCCCGAATACATTCATGCATGTTGTAATAAATGTAAACAGATGAAAGGTAACTCATACACACAGGGCTGTTTCTAGGCATAGGCGAGCTAGGCGGTTGCCTAGGGCGCCACCAGCTGAAGGGGCGCCAATGAGCGCACGTACTGGCACTTTTAGCAGGGTTGTGATAAAGAGTGGCACGGTCACCCTGAAATATGACTGCTGGCTCCCCCAACATTACTGGGCTAGAGTACTGTCAATCTGACGATGCCTGTATGCCACTGGATCAGAGTGCTGTCAATTGCTGCCTGATTGTTGCATGCAAAGTTTGCATTTGGAGCGCTCAACAACGCCATTAGATCAGTGGGCTCTGTCAGTGCTTTGGCAAGGTAACACTTTTTTTTGCCATGCAATAAAGCTAAGTTCAAAGGCCAGTTTAAAATATTGGTACAGTAAATAAAGTGCACATTTAGGCAGTATTTGTGGCACATTTGTCCAAATATTTGTGGCAGATTTGTCCAAAAGGTGTGCAACTTGAAATCGCATCATATGACCCCTTTAAAGGGGACGTTAACGCGTTAACGAGTTAACGAGTAGCAAATGATTAAATAGCTGCATTGGTTACTTTTATGCCACTGATAAAGCTTGTATATGTAGTTTGGGGTAACAAAGGGGTTTTATAGGTTTGACTGAAATAATAATGCAATAACTGACACTTTAAATCAATGTTTCAAGAAACAACAAAAAAATTGAACAAAAAACAGATAAAGACAAAAAAGTAGCCATTGATAATATCTAAACAATATGTAGTAGTATAGTATCCAAATCAAAATGTAATAAAATTAATGTAAGTGTGATTTATGTGTAAATTATGTGCAACGTATTAGCCACTAGGGATTGTTACATAGGGCTATACAGGCATCTAGTGGCAACACAATGATATTACAGATACTAAATTGTGCAAACAATGCATTCAGATTTGTGGAACTCAATGCACTGAATCTCCACAAATTAGTGTCATTACTATGACAACCAATTTGAATGTGACGAGCAATAGGCGTCAAACTGTCTAGAAACGGCCCTGATACACACATCACGCACGCACGAGAAAGGCATCCCAGCGCGCGGCTCTTCGCACTAACTCCCTCGCGACACAACAGTCCTCGGTTAACACACCTAACGTTAATCCTTTCATTCAGTCGAGCTTCATTGATTTAAAAAGCTCTAAACATGTCCCCGCAGGTCTCGCATCAGTCAGGAAGGACTTGATCTGAGCTGGAGTTTCTTTTAAACGCGCTCGTGTGTGTTTCGTGCACATTTAGCTTTCTATAATCAAATCTCTAGCTCTCGAGGCCTCTAAAAGCGCAGAAGACCACACCATTCCGAAAGATACAAGAGCAGTAACCATCATTTCTATTGAAGCTCTACGTGTAGTGCTCTTGAATCTTACCTCAGTACTGCTCAATTTCGCTCTTTTATTCCAGCTCGGGTCAGTTTACAAACACAGGAAACGCCACCGGAAAAGCTCCACGAGAACGCGCTAACTGGCTGCAACGTCACTAAGTGTTCATGAGTAACAAGACAGCAGCAAAAAATAGAATAGAATAAAATAAACAAGACAGCAGCAAAGTATAGAACAGAATAAAATAAACAAGACAGCAGCAAAGTATAGAACAGAATAAAATAAACAAGACAGCAGCAAAGTATAGAACAGAATAAAATAAACAAGACAGCAGCAAAGTATAGAACAGAATAAAATAAACAAGACAGCAGCAAAGTATAGAACAGAATAAAATAAACAAGACAGCAGCAAAGTATAGAACAGAATAAAATAAACAAGACAGCAGCAAAGTATAGAACAGAATAAAATAAACAAGACAGCAGCAAAGTATAGAACAGAATAAAATAAACAAGACAGCAGCAAAGTATAGAACAGAATAAAATAAACAAGACAGCAGCAAAGTATAGAACAGAATAAAATAAACAAGACAGCAGCAAAGTATAGAACAGAATAAAATAAACAAGACAGCAGCAAAGTATAGAACAGAATAAAATAAACAAGACAGCAGCAAAGTATAGAACAGAATAAAATAAACAAGACAGCAGCAAAGTATAGAACAGAATAAAATAAACAAGACAGCAGCAAAGTATAGAACAGAATAAAATAAACAAGACAGCAGCAAAGTATAGAACAGAATAAAATAAACAAGACAGCAGCAAAGTATAGAACAGAATAAAATAAACAAGACAGCAGCAAAGTATAGAACAGAATAAAATAAACAAGACAGCAGCAAAGTATAGAACAGAATAAAATAAACAAGACAGCAGCAAAGTATAGAACAGAATAAAATAAACAAGACAGCAGCAAAGTATAGAACAGAATAAAATAAACAAGACAGCAGCAAAGTATAGAACAGAATAAAATAAACAAGACAGCAGCAAAGTATAGAACAGAATAAAATAAACAAGACAGCAGCAAAGTATAGAACAGAATAAAATAAACAAGACAGCAGCAAAGTATAGAACAGAATAAAATAAACAAGACAGCAGCAAAGTATAGAACAGAATAAAATAAACAAGACAGCAGCAAAGTATAGAACAGAATAAAATAAACAAGACAGCAGCAAAGTATAGAACAGAATAAAATAAACAAGACAGCAGCAAAGTATAGAACAGAATAAAATAAACAAGACAGCAGCAAAGTATAGAACAGAATAAAATAAACAAGACAGCAGCAAAGTATAGAACAGAATAAAATAAACAAGACAGCAGCAAAGTATAGAACAGAATAAAATAAACAAGACAGCAGCAAAGTATAGAACAGAATAAAATAAACAAGACAGCAGCAAAGTATAGAACAGAATAAAATAAACAAGACAGCAGCAAAGTATAGAACAGAATAAAATAAACAAGACAGCAGCAAAGTATAGAACAGAATAAAATAAACAAGACAGCAGCAAAGTATAGAACAGAATAAAATAAACAAGACAGCAGCAAAGTATAGAACAGAATAAAATAAACAAGACAGCAGCAAAGTATAGAACAGAATAAAATAAACAAGACAGCAGCAAAGTATAGAACAGAATAAAATAAACAAGACAGCAGCAAAGTATAGAACAGAATAAAATAAACAAGACAGCAGCAAAGTATAGAACAGAATAAAATAAACAAGACAGCAGCAAAGTATAGAACAGAATAAAATAAACAAGACAGCAGCAAAGTATAGAACAGAATAAAATAAACAAGACAGCAGCAAAGTATAGAACAGAATAAAATAAACAAGACAGCAGCAAAGTATAGAACAGAATAAAATAAACAAGACAGCAGCAAAGTATAGAACAGAATAAAATAAACAAGACAGCAGCAAAGTATAGAACAGAATAAAATAAACAAGACAGCAGCAAAGTATAGAACAGAATAAAATAAACAAGACAGCAGCAAAGTATAGAACAGAATAAAATAAACAAGACAGCAGCAAAGTATAGAACAGAATAAAATAAACAAGACAGCAGCAAAGTATAGAACAGAATAAAATAAACAAGACAGCAGCAAAGTATAGAACAGAATAAAATAAACAAGACAGCAGCAAAGTATAGAACAGAATAAAATAAACAAGACAGCAGCAAAGTATAGAACAGAATAAAATAAACAAGACAGCAGCAAAGTATAGAACAGAATAAAATAAACAAGACAGCAGCAAAGTATAGAACAGAATAAAATAAACAAGACAGCAGCAAAGTATAGAACAGAATAAAATAAACAAGACAGCAGCAAAGTATAGAACAGAATAAAATAAACAAGACAGCAGCAAAGTATAGAACAGAATAAAATAAACAAGACAGCAGCAAAGTATAGAACAGAATAAAATAAACAAGACAGCAGCAAAGTATAGAACAGAATAAAATAAACAAGACAGCAGCAAAGTATAGAACAGAATAAAATAAACAAGACAGCAGCAAAGTATAGAACAGAATAAAATAAACAAGACAGCAGCAAAGTATAGAACAGAATAAAATAAACAAGACAGCAGCAAAGTATAGAACAGAATAAAATAAACAAGACAGCAGCAAAGTATAGAACAGAATAAAATAAACAAGACAGCAGCAAAGTATAGAACAGAATAAAATAAACAAGACAGCAGCAAAGTATAGAACAGAATAAAATAAACAAGACAGCAGCAAAGTATAGAACAGAATAAAATAAACAAGACAGCAGCAAAGTATAGAACAGAATAAAATAAACAAGACAGCAGCAAAGTATAGAACAGAATAAAATAAACAAGACAGCAGCAAAGTATAGAACAGAATAAAATAAACAAGACAGCAGCAAAGTATAGAACAGAATAAAATAAACAAGACAGCAGCAAAGTATAGAACAGAATAAAATAAACAAGACAGCAGCAAAGTATAGAACAGAATAAAATAAACAAGACAGCAGCAAAGTATAGAACAGAATAAAATAAACAAGACAGCAGCAAAGTATAGAACAGAATAAAATAAACAAGACAGCAGCAAAGTATAGAACAGAATAAAATAAACAAGACAGCAGCAAAGTATAGAACAGAATAAAATAAACAAGACAGCAGCAAAGTATAGAACAGAATAAAATAAACAAGACAGCAGCAAAGTATAGAACAGAATAAAATAAACAAGACAGCAGCAAAGTATAGAACAGAATAAAATAAACAAGACAGCAGCAAAGTATAGAACAGAATAAAATAAACAAGACAGCAGCAAAGTATAGAACAGAATAAAATAAACAAGACAGCAGCAAAGTATAGAACAGAATAAAATAAACAAGACAGCAGCAAAGTATAGAACAGAATAAAATAAACAAGACAGCAGCAAAGTATAGAACAGAATAAAATAAACAAGACAGCAGCAAAGTATAGAACAGAATAAAATAAACAAGACAGCAGCAAAGTATAGAACAGAATAAAATAAACAAGACAGCAGCAAAGTATAGAACAGAATAAAATAAACAAGACAGCAGCAAAGTATAGAACAGAATAAAATAAACAAGACAGCAGCAAAGTATAGAACAGAATAAAATAAACAAGACAGCAGCAAAGTATAGAACAGAATAAAATAAACAAGACAGCAGCAAAGTATAGAACAGAATAAAATAAACAAGACAGCAGCAAAGTATAGAACAGAATAAAATAAACAAGACAGCAGCAAAGTATAGAACAGAATAAAATAAACAAGACAGCAGCAAAGTATAGAACAGAATAAAATAAACAAGACAGCAGCAAAGTATAGAACAGAATAAAATAAACAAGACAGCAGCAAAGTATAGAACAGAATAAAATAAACAAGACAGCAGCAAAGTATAGAACAGAATAAAATAAACAAGACAGCAGCAAAGTATAGAACAGAATAAAATAAACAAGACAGCAGCAAACAATATAATAGAATAAAATAAACAAGACAGCAGCAAAATTATTGTAGAAAATGTGGGAATATGGAACAAAACTCTAAAGGAGTTACTCTGCATGTTCACCCTAGAATATGGTGTACACGTTATACATTTATAATGTATACACAGTGTTGGGGTAACGCATTACAAGTAACGTAAGTTACGTAATCAGATTACTTTTTTCAAGTAACTAGTAAAGTAACGCATTACTTTTTAATTTACAAGAGAATATCTGAGTTAATTTTTCAAATATGTAACGCAAGTTACTTTTTTTCCAATTTATTGATTAACAGCTCTCCTGTCCCCATGTTGAGAGAAATCAGAAGATGTTACTGTAGTTCTAAAATAAATATGAATATGCATTAATTCATCTCACTCACTCACACACAAAAAACACAGATTCAGTATTCCTCAAAATGAATAAAAATAATGCAACTCAGAATATGACGCAAACAAGACAGCAGCAAACAAATATAATAGAATAAAATAAACAACACAAAAGCAAAAAAATATAATAGAATAAAATAAACAAGACAGCAGCAAACATTATAATAGAATTAAATAAACAAGACAGCAGCAAACAAATATAATGGAATAAAAT